AAACAAAGTGGTGTTTGTGTTTGTGTATTTCTCGCAGGGTTATTTTCGAACTGACGAGGCCACCGCTGAGCAGGAGCAGGGTCCCCATTCATGAAAACAGAAAAGGAAACAGGACCCAGTCTTGTTTTCAACTGTGTGTAGAATAGGATGATATTTTGATATTATCAGAGATACTCCAAAGGCAAGAGGTAGGCAAGGGTCGTTTACAGATCATGTTGCGCAAGGCTCATAGTGCGCATCGAAAACCAGATGCATAGGAGCTGTGAACAATTAATCTTCACGTGAGATCCTACTCAAAAGGAGCCACTTTGACTACCTGGAAACCCAATATGTTGGTCCCAGCGATGGCCTGGCTCAAAGGCGGATGAAGGACAGATGGCCTGTATATAACAGGAGACCATGAGAAAGCCGATGCATGCCGATGTAATATGAGTAGTTGATGAACAACTTATTATTGTGAGAGAGGTTGTTTGAAATAGCACCTCTTTTGCTTCACAATCCTCTCCGCCCAGGTGAAGAGGATCAATTTCAGGCGCGAATCGGGGGCGGCGTTTGGTGTTTTTCGCAGGGCCGAAGGACCAAAAGGTGTCCGCCTTTTTCAAGCGGAGCGCGCTTTGGAACACGGCCTGCGCAGCGTCCCATGCTTGCCAGGTTCCCTGAACCACCCAAAGACCATCGGGGCGGCGCAAAGAACGAGATCTTGGCGGAGGCGTCATCATCGGACATCGCGGACATCGCAGGCAGTTGATTGGGTTCATGGCTCGTTCACCGTGACAAGGCTTCGGCCGACCGTCAGATCCCGGCGGGTCGGTCACGGTCTGTCTTGAAAGGACATACAAGTCCTGAAGTTGGGTCGAAGAAACCTGGAAAGCATTTGGTTGTTAAGGGATTGCTAAGCATGCCACTTAAGTCCTGGAAAGCATTCCAAAAGACCAAATGTTCGGACATGTTGGAACCACAACCCATACAATACAACCCCTTCCAATTCGACAGTCTTTCTTGCTCAACTGGTCGCTCCATTCGACTGTCTTTTCAGCTCATTGGTCCCCCTCAGATGCTCCGTGCACAGCCGGTCCGAATCTGGTCCCCACAAGCCCAGGGATTTGAGACCCACCATATCAGGGTCCAATCCCTCCATGTGAGGCTGGGTGGCAAGAAATTCCACTTCACCCGTGGCAAACTTGGAAGCCGAACTTCTATTGAATGTTTGGCACTCCCTGAAATAATCATGGAAAACCACCACCTGTTTCGTTTTCGGATTTCGTCATCCGAGTCGAAACGGGGGCCATCCACGTAACCATGATGCAATGATGATTTCGAGTCGCCCACGGTTCTTGCATGTTCTTGCTGCTTCTAGTAACAAGTGCCTTACTAGTAGTAACAAGAAGCTAGTAGTAACAAGTGCCACGCTACTAGTAACAAGTGCCACGCTAGTAGTAACAAAGAAACGGGATGATTTGTTGCTTCTGCTTGGACCGAATTCACATAGTAGTAACAAGAAGCTACTAGGAACAAGTGCATCGCTTCTAGTGACAAGTGCCTTACTAGTAGTAACAAGAAGCTAGTAGTAACAAGTGCCACGCTACTAGTAACAAGTGCCAGGCTAGTAGTAACAAAGAAACGGGATGATTTGTTGCTTCTGTACCCCCCAACAAATTCACATCCGGATGTTCTGCTTGGACCGCTGGGTCCCATCCTGGGCCCATGCGGGAGTGACCGTCCGGGTGTCGATCGATGTGTCGATCAACGATCGATGACCGCAATGGTGGTGTGATCAGGGTGACTTGGAATCAAGCAGGGTCTTTAAGAGGTCGACCCAAAGGAGATCACAGGGAGATCATCCAGGAGTGGTTCAAGATGCTTTTACATAGATCCGAATGGATGTGACAGGCGCACCCCGGAATCGGCACGGAACTGCCGGACCTGATGTGTGTTGGTTCGGTGTGGGCGTTTGAAGAATTCGCTGTCATTCGGGACCCGGGTCCGCGGCACTTTGACCCCTGGTCGACTTCGTCACACCTGGCAGTTGCGGCGAGTCTCCCATGGATACGGAACAGAGGACGATGAGGAGTACGAGCTCTTGAAGGAGTGATGTGATGGGCCATGGGGGCCATGGGGGCCATGGGTCCACATGTGGCAATGGGCCAGTCAATTGGCCGCGTTTTATGATGCTCCTATAATGTAGACTCTTGGGTCGTAGAAGTGGCCCATATGAAGAGTCGAAGAGGTGGATAATCCAAATGAACCAAGACTAAGAGTCTACGTTACTCGACTTTGCATTCATCCCATGATCGCGGCTTTTTGACCTAGACATGCAGAAAGCGGACTGATTTGTGTATAGTTGCTAGTTTGCTTCAGTTGGCAGCTTTCCAGATGTGCTGATAGCTGTGTGGCACCAACGCTTCGGGTGTTTGGGCTACGGGATGGTATGCACCGCGCATCGCTGTGTGGCACCCCCAAGAGCTGTGTGGCGACCCGGTTTGATGTTTCTTTCGTTGAAGACCGAGCAGACCCGGGTCTACATGGCGAATCCCTTTCTGTTCGGTGGGGCACACTGGCCAGTCGTAGTTCCCTCCAATGTTTCTTCATCAACAGATTCAATTGAATCATATTGAACCCTTTTGACTGACAACTTGATGCTAAAAAAGAAAGAAGCCACAACGTGCCACGCCACAACGTGCCACTCACTGGACATGTGCCTTCCCGCAGGCCCCGGGGACTCTGCCCGCCGTTTGTTTGCCGCTCGGGCCGCTCGTTGTGTAAACGAGGACTGCGACTTCATGGTGACGTTGGGGTGCTGAGCAGACGATGAACAGATGAGCAGAGTAAGAATAGTAAGATCAAGCAAGTATAGCGCTTCTCAGATCTTGTAGACCTCCAAGCGGGATAGAGGTGTAAACACTGTTGATGCTCAAACCCAGAAAACGGTCCACTTGGATGGTGAGTTGTATACCTCTTAAAAGAGATTATGATATATTATATATAAGTTTAAGAAAGCCTGTGCTTTTGGGTACTAGTAGCGATGCCCCCCCCCAACCTCCGGTCGTGCCCCCCGCAACCCGGTCCTCTCGTCCCGAGACTCTCCACGATGCGAGGCCCGGCGACAAGATCGGCATCGTGGGCGGCAACGGCAAAGGGAAGCCGCTGAGCGGTTGAATGGATCGATCCGGGAGGGGGCGGGTGAGCTTGGTGCTGTGATCTCATGCTTAGGGCTTAGGTAAGCTAGTAGACAAGGGAATCACTACTAGTAACAAGATGTAACAAGGGCTTAATTACTAGTAGCTAGAAGCTATTAGGTTGGAGGCCATTACTAGTAGCTAGAAGCTAGTTACTAGTAACAAGGGCATTGTTAGTAATTTTGCCATGTTGCTTTTGGCCAGCACATGCCGCCACCACCACCCAGGTCGGGTGGTTTACAGACCCCCTTGACGAGGTATGTTCCGTCCAACAAGCACACGACCTGGGTGGTGGTGTTGGGGTGTGCTTTTCGTTTACAGTAACTGCTTTTGCAATCTTTTGCAGGTTGTTTGATGGTGAAAGCGTGTTGTTGTTGTTGTTGTTCTTGTTGTTGTTGTTGTTGTTGCTCTTCGGGGGCGAAGCACCTCTCCGAAAACCACAAGGGGCCCCAGCCCTTGTTTTTTGTGGAACAAGTTCTCCCCGTCCATGGTGCCAAATGCGAAAGAGGATTTGGGACGTGATGTAGACACACTCCTAGTCACTAGACCTTATTATATGTTCTTTGCCACCTGGAGCCTTCTTCATATACCACTGCTCCTGGCATGGGCACAAACTAATTCGGAGAGAGATCTCTTTGCTTCAAGTCGATGCCAAATGTCCAAGTCCAAACCCCAGTCCAAATCAATGCAGTATTACAAGTGGCTTTGGATCGAACTGCCAACCATTCTAGCAGCTTCAATGTGTTTGCGTGGCGCTCAAATGGAAAGGAAGAGGTGTTCAGGTGTGAGGGGCAACGCTGGCAATACCGAACGCGCCGGGTGTCATGCAGAGGGAGTTTGTGGGATACATCCAAAACTAAATATGTGACTTCTGGAAACATATCGTCGATTTTGGGGAACTGACTTTTGTAGGGAACCGGGAACACTGCTGGTTTTCCACGGGCAGGTACTTTGCATGATTCTTCCAGCAAATGGCGAGTTCATCACAGCGAAAAAGCAAGTTTTGTTGCGGAGAAACTCAGAGTCTTCGGACATAGATCGCCCAGGGTGTCGCCCAAGAGCTTGAGCTTTGTGCAAGCAAACCTTGCCCAAGAACTTGCATCATTTGGTGGATCTATAGGTCCAAGACAGATCATTTTCATGAGAGGTTTACCGAGGGAAAGGGATGGAGAAGACCTTCCATGACTCAAAAGATCAAGTCTGATCAAGTCATCAAGTCCCAGCTGTTTTTGAGATAGCCCCTCAAAAGACTGGACGATTCTGTACATGGCCACCTGGTGCATCTGCCAGCGCTCGCTCCGCGGACGCTCCACGGACACTCAGTCTGGCTCGATCGGAACTTCATGGATCGTAACTGTAGGAAGTAGAGTAGAGGAAGGAATCAAACCTACATGGGTTGAGAGTAGATGGCACAGTTCCCAAGTTTGGTGGTTACGTGGACCCCCATCCCCCATCCAAGACATCGAGTTCGGGCGGAACGGCGTTCCATTGAACGGCCTGTACACAGCCTGTGTGTTAGTGGCGGTGAGTGACGTAACCAAAGCCACAGCCGGCTCAACAAAGGCAGAACCGACGATTTCACACAGAACGAAGAAGTCTTCCGATGAGAGCCGTCAAAGCTTAACACGGGGGGTCACCTGGCAGGAGATGTGCAATAAGAATCAACAATGATACAAAGTATAAGCAATACAGATTTTGAAGTCATCCCGGAATGTCCATCGTATAGCCTTCTTAATTCTCAAGTCAGCTCGGAATTCACAGTCTTTGACGTTTGCCTCCACAAGTGCCTCCAGCACCGCACGAGTCCACCAAACCGCGCGGGTCATGGTCTTCAGGGCCAGCACAGCAAGCCACGCGGAGAAACATGGAGAAACCCTCGGCTGGGACTTACAACAAATAAGCTACTAGGAACAAGTGCATCGCTTCTAGTAACAAGTGCCTT